CCCGGCTCTGCGCCAGCCACAGCTCGGGGCGACCGGGCTCGTCAGCGCCCAGCCTGCGCCTGCGAGTCCGAGGAGCCGACCCGGCGACGGCGACAGTGACTCGGCTTCCGACGGGAGCCGGTCCTCTCAGCCAGAACAGGAAGGCTGCAAAGGCCAGTCCCGGGAGCGACGTCAGTGCCCCGGGGCCCGCGCCCCAGAAGACGGCCAGCCCCGGGGGCACTCCGCCGGCAGGGGCGCCCCCGACGTGCCAAATGCGCCCATCCGAGGCAGGAGTGCAGCACCTCAAGTGCCACTGCCCTGATGGGTAGGGCGTCGGCGGGGAGCACAGGTTCTTTACAAACCGATCCCAGACCCACGCAGCTGCCTGACTGCACCGAGAGCCCCCAAAGCCGACAAAGCCCTGTGCAAGTGCAGCGAGGCAATGAAACTGGGGAATGGAGCTGTCCCGGCTTCCACAGTCAAGAGAAATCTCACATGTGGCACTGGAGGATCTGATCAACACCTTGTCAATGCAACCTGAAAGTCAGATGCTTCCCCCTTTAGTCCAGCTCGTATATACCTCACATCTCGGTTTCAGAATTCCCTGGTGGGTCAAAACGACGCCGACCATGCCCTGAATTATGCTGCCCTGAAAGCATTTAGTAAGCACTCCTAAGAGTCAAGGAGAAAAGCTTAGGAGGAAACAATGTGATGAGTGTCCTGCCTTCCCTGACTCTCTCCTCCTTCTACCTGTGCTATTTCCTCACTTTCGTGTGATTTTTAAACATTTTCACTTTTTAAAATTTAGGTTTTATTTTGTTGCTGAATGACATTCCCCCCACCCCAAAAAGGGCGGGGGAGAATCTTTACCTGGAAAGTCTTAATTCAAATGATTGTTACCAGATTTCCCTAGTTTATATAACTTTAACTCTTTACTGAGTCTCTTTTAACAAAAAGTAGGCACTTCGTCTATTACTGGTTTCCAGATTCTCTAAAAACTGTATACCAAATGTTTCAATCACAGGTGTCAACTTAAAATGCTTCTTCATCAGAAACTACAATTTCACCAGGTGTCAAGTGAGTAGACAGCCACTGCTGCTGAGCAGTGCCGAGACCAGACACCTCTTGATATCTCCTCTTCAAGAGAAAGGAGCATGCAGACTTAGCTGGCTCTTTTATTTGGGTGAGTCCTATAAAACAATATTGGAGATCTCATTCTGACTTGAGTTCTCTGATGAAGTCGTGATATTTTGTGGAGCCCCAAATAGTTGGAAAATGTTCCACAAAAAGAGAGAGAGCGGTATGTTCAGTAAGGCAGGTGCCTGTCTTTTGCTCTGAAATTCAGAAGCCAGTGATACCCACAGTGCCTTCACTTAACTCTAAGGCTTAAATTTCACCATGATCTCCATGTTTCCCTAAGGAAACAGTGTTTTTAAAATTAAAGTTGTTGTGTGTTTCCTTTTTGAGATGTAGGGAGGGAAACAGATTGTACAAGTAATTAAAATTGCAAATAAACTTTCATTGTAATTTTGTTTTCAGTTCCTTGTTGCATTATGAAAAAAAGCCCCCTTAAAACTAAAAGTTTCCATAATTGGTTTCAGTCCTTAAACAATCAAACTCCAAAGCTAGTACAGCTGCCATTTTTAGTGGTTGTTTTACTATCACTAGTGATTCTTTTCTTTTTTTACTATGTATTTCTACTTTAAAAATATTGAGATAAGAGTTCAGGGGTGAAAAAGGTGTAAACCTATAAACATGTCTATTTATGGAATGCTACAAAGTTTGAAAACTTTAATTCAAGTGGTATCTAATATATTTTTAACCACAGATTCTGAGAGTCTGCCATTAACAATGTCTATGGATTACATTGGACTGTCCCTGATAAAACACAATATAGGATTCCTACCTTATATCTGAAATTGAAGATATTAAAGAAGCTAGATCCTTGCTTCTTAATTCTTTCTTTTTTCAGAAGTCTTTAAACTTAAGTGGATAAATGTAACAAGGAATGATTATAATATACATATATATAAATTGCTAGTAATTCAAATATAAAATATGGCAACAGATTACTTTTACTAACAAGAAAGCTAATCTGTTTTCTGAGCCACTTTTCAACTTCCTAACTTTAAAATAAAATACCATTGTTTTTACAAAGTTAATTGAATGCCCCCACAATCTAAAAGTTAAGCACTGAGAAAGAAAACGATTTAAAGGGATATTTCAGGTTTTTAAAAAAAATGCTATTTCAGATAAAGTTCTTAAAGTACCAGCTGACTTTAAATACAGATATACAATGTACTTGACACATTAAATTATACATTTGACTGAGAATGAAACATCTAAACAACTTGCAAAAATGTGTCGAAGAAAGATTTGTTTGGAAGATGTCAGCTGTTTTGAAAAAGCTAATCTTATATAACTTCAAATCATCTTTGCATTCCTCTATTTATGCAAGTGAGACTCAAAAAGATGACAGTATAAAGCCAGTTGAAAAACCCTCTTCTGCTTCTCTTTAAAAATTAGCTTTGGAAATTCAGAAAATCCCATTATCATGGGAATATATTCTACACATGTCTAAAAGAAATTTTGTTAATTTTAACATACATGTTATTTTTTCTTCGGCTCCTAGCTGAATTTTAAAATTAAAGCTTTATATACGCTAATTTGATATTAACATCTACATTTTAAAAACTGCTGTTGAGGTGAATCAAGTGTGTGCACACATATGTGCTAGACATTTTGCTAATAACAGAATGTGCCTGTCTTCTAGGACATGAAATCTAGTGGGAGACAGACATGTAAACAAAGTATTAATTCATTCAACAAGCATATAGTGCAGCCTGCCCTGTTTTAAGGGCTGTAATTGCTCTAAGTACTGTAAGTGCTTTGGGAGCAAAGAGGAGGGACTTAGGGTAACCTAGGTGAAGAGGTGAGGCTATCTAATAAAACATCGCTTAAATAATAAAAGGCTTCTTGTTTTAAAGAAAAATTAGCTGTGTTATCTAAGTATTAAATCCTCTTCTTTCCTCCCCCAAATAATTAAAACATAGTGTTAGCATTTAAATAGGCATTCATTTGGCAACTGTGCGTGATTCAGGTTATGAGAACACAATAATCATTTCGTCAACACCAAATCTAAAATTACTGAAATAATTCCATATTTACATACTTGAGTTAAAAATAAAGGATTACATACCCCATTACTAAGTGGATTCAAAATATTATCTATAATGAGGAAAGCAAACATATTACATCTTAAATGTTGCATTGCCACTCTTTTGGGGGGTGGGGAAACGTCAGGATTTTATGTTCAGGTCTGAGCAGACCATCTAATTCTGCCATCAAGTTTGTCAATAGGGCAGGAGACTCTTGGACACTTCGGTCAAGGAGGGGAAGATTAATATTTCTATGCTTGTGTCTTATTTCCAATGTTTTGCTTTTCAAGCCTTTTAAAGTCAACTCTTTACATTTTAAACTTAAAAGTTCCTACATTTCTTTTAGTGTTAAGGTCAAAGAAATGTTATAATGACAGTGATTCGGCTGGCCCCAAAGTTCTAAAAATACACCTGTATCTTCTCCACTAATTCAGTGGATGCAGAGATTTTTCCCACTCCCAAAGTAAACTGTCAATAGTGGAATTACACATAAGAATAACTTCATCTCCAAAGAAACCATATAGTACAAAGTGATTGATATTAAAATGTGATGATTCTAACGTAGAAGTCTGAAATATAGCGTAACATTTTTCTAAGGCAAGGGGATATGCATAAAAACCAAATTTTTGCTGCTTGGTTATGTATGTTCTGTGTGATGTGTGAACATCATCTAAATATTTACGTGGGTGTTCTTTAAAAAGTGTACCCAAACTCCATATCACCAGATAGAAAACTCTAAGCGCCCTACCAAATAAGTCTGTCAGACACTCCCTCCCATCGCCACCCAGGCCCATCACCCCTTTAAAATCCTGGTGGTGTTGGACTTCTCTCGGAGAAGGTAGATACTATTCCTTTCCCACCTTTTAATTAGTACAGGACACGAGAAACAAAGGTGGAAGATGCCACAGAGGAAACCGACCCCTGGAGCCCACCAAGCCCGCATCCAAGCTATGATACCAGCTAGGATCCGGGAGGATCCGGCCCGCGCATCCCTTAGGTGCGGACTCTGCCAGCCCCCAGCCGAACGTTCGGGGCCAACGCCGCAAAGCCGGAGGCGGGAGGGCCCCTGCGCGGCGTGGGCGCGAGGTTCCCAGTTTCACCGCGCGGGCCTCTCAGACACCTGCGTTCAGTGTTGGACGGGGTGCGGGGGCTCGGAGGAAGGTACGGATGTAGACCTCGGTGACCTCCAAACCTGTTCTTTTATCCCGAAGTTTCTAGAACCCCAACGAGAACCTCCGCACTCTCCGCGCACTTTCTAACGCGGTTAGGGTCAGGCTATCTTTCGGGTTAGAACCCCGAGAGG